TGCTGCTGCTGCTGCTGCTGCTGTCGAATTCAAGTTCATCATCGTGGGGCCAGAAACCTCGTGCGTACACTGGGAGCCTCTAGCAGCGAATCGATTGCTGCCTGCATCTGCTGCTTCTGTATGTTATCGTGCTCGTTATGGTGAGCCTAGAGAGGAGTTGCTGCTGCTGCAGCAGCAGCAGGATACAGCAGCAACACCGCAGCACCGTAGACAGCAGCATGAAGCTACATGGATGGGGAGGTCTAGAGACGATTCTTTTTCTTCTTCTTTGCACCGGCTTTCTTCTGGCTTAGATTTATCTCCTCAGTCTCCCGGTGATTCAACTCCTCTTCCTTTTGGTTCTGGGGGGGGAGTAGAGAGTTGTGCTCGTCTTCTAGGCCCTGCAGCAGCAGCAGCAACAGCAGCAGCAGCAGCAGCAGGAGCAGCAGCAGGAGGAGAGGGAACAGCAGCAGCAGAAGGAACAGCAGAAGCAGCAGGAGCAGCAGCAGCAAGAGGATATGGNGAGGAGAGGGAACAGCAGCAGCAGAAGGAACAGCAGAAGCAGCAGGAGCAGCAGCAGCAAGAGGATATGGTGTTGGTTCTGTATTGAGCCCTAGTGGTGCTTTAGGGTTTATTATAGATGGTGATAGATATTCTCCTTCTTGGGGGTGTAAACTAGAAATAATAAAAAATATAATAAAGAAAACAGGAGACGGCAGCAGTTTATCTAAGGCATCAACAGAACAGATGGTTGCTGCTATTGATGCTTTATGTTATGCTGGGGTGTATGCTGAGCTCATATCTCAGAGTTTTATAGAATGTAAAGAAGATGGTAAACATTTTCGTCCAAATAAACATGCAAATATATCTCGTGAGGTGTCTATACACCTGGAGATATTACTACAATCTATTGCTTCTAGACAAGATGATTTTTCTTCTGTATTGAGGCTGGTCCTGCGTTCGATTCCCCCCTCTTTACCTTCTTTTGCTGCTGCTTTTCGTGTTTCACAGCCACTAACAAGAATAAGAAATATAGCTCATAGAGATGATATACCAAAAGAATTAAAAAACGAAATAAAAAATAAAATACAAAATAAATTACATAGATGTGCGGGACCAGAAGACCTAAACTCTACACGGTTGCTGCTGCAGCGTGTACATACACAGCAACATGCATACCCTGCTAGTTTTATATATGAATTAGATTTATTTTATAAAGAATTAAATATTTTTTTTAATCAAACGGATCTAATACAAAGATTAAAAGATATATTATCCTCACAAACACCCAGAACAGCTGAAACTATATATAGATTTATAGATGCTAAAGAACGAAGTGACCCGCAATACACCACACCCACAAAACTTTTGCTTACTCTATCTCTAGCAACAAACCTTAGATTTGTTTTTTCTCTGCAACTCATAGAAAACGCACACCAACATGATGCAGATGAACATATTATACAAAATATGTAAGACAATAATACATACTTTCAAGGCCCCGTGAGGGTTTAGGGTTTAGGGTTTAGGGGTTGGGTTTGGGGGGCGAGGGTTTAGGGTTTAGGGGTTAGGGGTTAGGGTTTGGGTTTGGGGGGCTA